AAACCTATGCGCATCATCTTGAGAATAAAAGTTCAGAAACGGAAATACATCCACATTCAAGTATCCATTTAAAGCCTTATACAAAAATGTGACATCAAACAGATGTCGCCCCTTTTCAAGCAAAAGCAGATAAAGACATTTCAGGCGCTTGTCGTAGGTAAAATTCCGTTTTCCGAGAATAAATTTTGTTCCCCTCCGCTGTATGTGCTCAAGCTTGTCAATGTTTCTTGCAGTGTGTGGTGATCACACAACTGATCCATATTCCACTTGCGATCTCACCAATGTGCAATACAGCACCTTCAAGGTTTCGATGTCCTTCCAACCTCTACAAGTTCTTCTAAGCAGGCCTAAAATTCTATTAGCTTTATTTGTAATGGCATCTACATGAGAGTTCCAAGAAAGATGATGGTTAGTAAGCAAACCAAGGTCGTGGAACTCATAAACTTCCTCTATGAGCGATTCATTCAGGGTGAAACTAGATCTGAATGGTTGTTTCTTCTGGGTAATGCACATCAACTTGCATTTCTTAACATTGAAGGTCATCCTGTTGTGTTGACTCCAGGTGCACAAACTATCTAGATCATCTTGAAGCATCGTTAGATCACTTGGACAGTTTACCACCCTAAACATCCTGCAGTCATCTGCATATAGTGCCACAGAACTTTCTTGACTGACCACCTCAGGCAGATCACTGATGAAAACAATAAAAAATTGGGGACCCAAAATGGACCCCTGCAGCATGCCAGATGGAATATTCAGCCAGCTAGAACATTTTCCATCAACCATGACTCTGTTTACGATTCGATGTCAAAGTAATTGGCACAATCAGGCTGTCTTCCCTGTATCTACTTGACAATTCTCCTGTGGCAATCTGCATTGAATACTACAACAGCAAGACCAACTTATTGGAGATGGGAAAATGTACACGTGGCTCCCTCCAGCTCCATTGGTAAATGCCACCAGTCTCAGTTGTCTATAATAAATTATAAATAAATAGGGTGACCATGATATAGCAATCCAACAGTAAGTACAGACTCCTGTGTTGAATGTATTAACGGATGAAAATGTATGTTTAGTCAGTTGTCTATAATAAATTATAAATAAATAGGGTGACCATGATATAGCAATCCAACAATAAGTACAGACTCCAGTGTTGAACATATTAACAATGAAAATGTATCTTTAGTCATAAATGGACAAGAAAAGCAAGTAGGAAATCATGGGCATGGAATTTATGTATCTTGACCAATCAAATTTTTATGAATATGAAGAATCTTCGCAAGCCTCCTTGCTCTAATGACTGGGCATATTTCCTGTGATCACTCAATAAGAACAAGGCCTGTTATTGTGATCACCATTCGCACCTTATTCCCTGAAGAGGCTCTACAGCTATACTACCCTTCCCAACTTAGGGATTAACAATTATATTTTGATTTCCAGAAAATTGTACAAAGC